GAGAAATCATTAACTATTCAATACACTAGTTGTCTGTTTGTTGATAAAATCCACAAAAATGCCCTGTGCTTCTTTTGTAGCTTTTAAATTCATCTGACACACTGCTGCAAGTTACCTCTATCCAGTCCATCATGAACTGTGGTTACAGTTAATCCATTATTAAGTATCTTCTATCACATGATATTTGGACACATTAAAAGGATAAATAATTAAAAATAAGTATCACTTAGTTCTGCGATTTTAAAGGGATATAAACCTCGTAATTACACATTTTATAAGTAAATAAATACATATACGGTCACATTTAAACCTACTCTTAAAGCTACTCTTCTCTGAGAGAATAGTGTGAGTTGACCATCACTCTTACAGCGCAGGATACAAATCGCGGAACGCATTTATGCCCCAACGAGACACTAACTTTGGAATTCTCGAGATCACAATCAGTAATTCCCATAATGCTAACCAGACTACACAGGTTTTCTTCATAGTTATCTACATTCACGAATTCAATTTGAACAAGTCAAATTTTCATTTATGAATAATAAATAAAAATACATATTTAAGGTTCTGACTGTTGTAGAGAAGCCAGAATTAGTTTTGTTCTGTCTTCTGGCATACTTTAGTTTATTCTCAATTTTTTTAACTAATGACTGATGTCCTACTTTTAAATAGAGGTAATGAATGTTTATAAAACAACAACAGAAGTAGGTACCCTAAGGAATAGTATTAACATTGTCATTATTATGTTATATTGAAAAATTAGTATTAATAATTAATTGGAAGATGCGAAAAAGCCAGACATTTTAATGTCCCTGTTGAATTACAATAGTAAGATTTATATACATAGTATGATCAATAACATTAAAGAATGGGTAATTTAGAGACTAAACAACCATGAGAAAGGATAAATCCGACTTTTGTTTATAAAAGTTTAGCATAAGATTATATTCTAAACTCACTAATGATTTTGAGATTTCGCAACTGTCTAATTACATCATACTTACTGTTTACGGTTAAAGCTACAGCAGAGCTGATTGGTTGGCCTACCCCGTTACTAGCTTCACACAGGTACAAGCCCTCATCTTCTTTTTGTACACTGGTAATGACTAAGCTTCCGTTGACTAAGATGTAAATTCGTGATCTGCTAATTATTGTGGTATAAGGTCCAGGTGGTGTGCCTATGCAAAGGAAAGTGAAATTTATATTCCAGAATTTAGCAATATTTATAATAAAACATGAGATAAATTATTGAGAATATTCTATTCGTTTTTGAAATAATATTGTGACAGTTTGAGAAGGATCTGGTTGTCAAGCATGTAGAGATATAATAAATGAATTGAGTTTGAGGAGGAGTAATGTCGTCTAATTCTGCTGATTTAGTGCCAACTTCAGTTTTGCAATTGTTAGACTTTTACGAATTCTCAAGTTTTTATGTGTTCAGCTTGATTAATTTTCACAAAAATATCATTAGTAGTAGCCGTATTACACTGGGATGAATTATGTCGTACAATACTTGGTGAATTCTTACGTTTTCCGAGAATATGTCCCATACAAGTAGACAGCCATCTAGTGTTAAAACCAACAAATTCTCCATGGCATGTAAATTTGTACAAAACGACTGATTTTTATTTTTTTCGGATCAAGTGCTTTCTAAGTCGATGTCACTTGTAACTAAAAGATTGTGTTTGATTGGAATAGTTTATGATCAAGTTGGTAGAGTTAATATAGGATCTAAACATGTTTCAGCTACGGCCAATATGTTTTTGTATCGTTGAACTACAGAAGCATTTTGTGTTTGATTGGAATAGTTTATGATCAAGTTGGTAGACTTAATATAGGATCTAAACATGTTTCAGCTACGGCCAATATGTTTTTGTATCGTTGAACTACAGAAGTTAAATGAATGATATATATGTATACGGTTTTTCACCCATAACGTCATGTGGTGAAATTTTCAAATATTTGAATAATAAGTATCCAGACATGAAACTTACAGCTGAATGTATGAAAAGGAATTTAATGTGAATTTTCAAGTACCTTAATATGTAACTAATAAGGTAGTTTTATAATTGGTGAACACCATAAACAAATTCTTCAGGATGTTTTGCTCATTAAATCAGTATTATTCTTAAAGCAATTGTAGTGAATTTATTCTAAGTATTTATTAGCCTTGCTTGCAGACTTCTAAGCAGTTATTCTATGCTACATGAACAAATAATTCGCTTTCAATGTATTATTGAAACATAATGAGTTTGTTGGCAAAATCAGTGACAAACTAACTTCATTGAGTACCCCTCAAGTTTTAAAGTTTAGTGTACCAAAGAAACCAATAATCATAGTATAACCGTATTTAGAACAACAATCAAAGTGTATAAAAAAGAATTTGGTTTTAATCATAGAGGAATGTATCTGCAGATAGGAATAGGATGCACATTAAATCTATTATGTATGATCTATACGTTAGATGGCTGTATACTCGTATCAGAATTTTAAAAAAATACATGTTCCCAGAAAGTTCTAGAGTTATTCCTGAATTTGTTTACGACATGGTGTAACAAATTGCATCGCTAGGGAAACTTTGTTAGAGTTAGTTGAGCAGACGATGAAGCGTTCTGAGAATGTTTTAAAAGTGGTTAACAGTTGCGAGATTGAAGCCCATACTAAATTAACAGAATTCGACGCAAAAGCTTTTCCTTAAGCTGTACGCTGCTTTTTTGTTTTTCTATATTATTAATGCTTGCATTTATATTAGGTCGTCAAGAAATTAGTGTCGCGTTTGGGAACATTTTCATTAACAATCCACCAAAAAAAAAAACGTACATCGAGCATAATAGTTAAACGAACCGCTTAAACATCACGTTAGTGTAGCCTATATAATATGTAAAGTTTAGTATACTCTAATCTCTTATAGTGATGGCACACGACGAGACACAGATTCGGCATGTAATGCTGTTTCAATTCAAAAAGGGAAACAACCTATCTATAGCCACAAAGAATATCAAAGAAGCTTATGGAAATGTTTTGAACGTTCGTAAGTGTCAACGATGGTTCAGCAAATTTCGTTCTGGTGACTTTAGCCTTAAAAACTGTGATGGCAGGTGCCTACATGTTGGAATTGATATTGATGCTCTGAAGACGCTTGTTGAGTCTAATCCAAGGCAACACACTCGTGAAATGGCTCTTAAATTGCATGTCTTTCATGAAACAATACGTAAACATCTAAGGAATGTGGGAAAACTCCATAAAGAAGGTGTTTGGCTGTCTCACGAATTCTCCGATTATCATCGTTTCCAACGTGTGAACGTTGCTACGTCTCTTCTGGCGCGTAATA